CTGCCGAATATAGTATAGGGGGTCTGCCGAATATAGTTGGGTCTGCCGAATATAGTATAGGGGGTCTGCCGAATATAGTTGGGTCTGCCGAATATAGTATAGGGGGTCTGCCGATTATAGTTGGGGTCTGCCGAATATAGTATAGGGGGTCTGCGGATTATAGTTGGGTCTGCCGAATATAGTATAGGGGGTCTGCGGATTATAGTTGGGTCTGCCGAATATAGTATAGGGGGTCTGCGGATTATAGTTGGGTCTGCCGAATATAGTATAGGGGGTCTGCGGATTATAGTTGGGGTCTGCCGAATATAGTATAGGGGGTCTGCGGATTATAGTTGGGTCTGCCGAATATAGTATAGGGGGTCTGCGGATTATAGTTGGGGTCTGCCGAATATAGTATAGGGGGTCTGCGGATTATAGTTGGGTCTGCCGAATATAGTATAGGGGGTCTGCGGATTATAGTTGGGGTCTGCGATCTTCGGATTATACAAGTCTGCGATCTTCGATCTTCGGATTATACACTACCGTTTATTTCTTTTTCTTCATTTTTTCATAGCTTTTGATGTGAATCAAAGTTAGCCTTTTGAGTTGCTTCATTCCATGAATGTATAGTTGTGAATCTTTCTGAATTGATATACCATACAAAGAATTACCTAATAATTTCATGCAATTACTACCCACAATATTACCTTCTCTTTTATGCTGATTTCTTAAATCTCTCAAAATGAAAATATAATCTCTGTATTTCTTCAACCAAAATAAAATAAACCAAATATAATTCCAACATCACCGTAATCATTCTTTCCTTTGCAATATTCGTTTTCGGACACCAATCCAGCTTCATGTAATTTATTCCAATTGTAAGATGAAATGTATAAACTATCAGTATATGTATAGTTTATTTCAGGCTTATAAAATCCATCTATTACATGAATAAAATTATTCATTACTTTCTTACTGTGTGATAATACGAATGTCTCCAAATGATTAGATGTTAGTCGTGTAGATTTACTGTTTTTTGAGTTTATTTCGGTAGTGTATAATCCGAAGATCGAAGATCGCAGACCTGTATAATCCGAAGATCGCAGACCCCAACTATAATCCGCAGACCCCCTATACTATATTCGGCAGACCCAACTATAATCCGCAGACCCCTATACTCCGCAGACTCTCTATACTATATTCGGCAGACCCAACTATAATCCGCAGACCCCCTATACTATATTCGGCAGACCCCAACTATAATCTGCAGACCCCCTATACTATATTCGGCAGACCCAACTATATTCGGCAGACCCCCTATACTATATTCGGCAGACCCCAACTATATTCGGCAGACCCCCTATACTATATTCGGCAGACCCAACTATAATCCGCAGACCCCCTATACTATAATCTTCGGATTATACACTACCGTTTATTTCTTTTTCTTCATTTTTTCATAGCTTTTGATGTGAATCAAAGTTAGCCTTTTGAGTTGCTTCATTCCATGATTGTATAGTTGTGAATCTTTCTGAATTGATATACCATACAAAGAATTACCTAATAATTTCATGCAATTACTACCCACAATATTACCTTCTCTTTTATGCTGATTTCTTAAATCTCTCAAAATGAAAATATAATCTCTGTATTTCTTCAAATACTCTACCATCTAATATTCTAATAATTCGTCAACCAGCTTTTACTATTTCTTGAATATCGACAGATGTTAAAACGTCTGAACAGAAGCCATTTCTAAACCTTATTTTAGTACCAGTTTCCTTTCTACCTTCTTTGTTCGTGAAAGTAATTTTATCTTTAGTTGGTATTGGTTGGAAGAACATGTTTTGGGAATATTCAAACCAGACTTTTAGAATAGCAATTTTGGGTCTGAATTTCTGTTTATTGAAGAGTTTTACAAATTCTTTGTCTTCTTCTGGTAGAAACGGTGTAGCACTTTCTGCTTTTGGATATTCATTGTCTAAATCTGACATAGCAGAAGTATACAAACCGTTAGCATCAAATGCCATCAGTTTAGAACATGTCTCGTTTATTTTTTAAGTTTTGAAGCAACCTCTGTTTTATCTTTATTACCTTTATTCTACTCTTTAAATAAATCAATTATATTTTCACTGTTGAGTTCTGTATATTCCTTTAATACGTTACAAATTTCATCCATTTTATCTGTTGTGTATAATTTTCTATTTGTTGAATCTCTTCCTCCTTTAATAGATTGTCTGTTGAAATATCTTATAAAAGGGTGCGTATGTGAGTTAACTTTTTCTATATTTTGTTTTTCGGTATGTTTCAGAACCATTCTTGTACATTCGTAATATTTGTTCTTCAGCCATTTCTTTATCGTAATGATATCAATAATACCAACCCTTAAGGCAAAGAAGGAGCCGTTAGATTATTGGAAATATTCTGGAATATAGCGTCGTTCATAACTTTGTTATATTTTATCAAACAAACTTCAAGACACAGAGTATCCCTTTTTGCATATGGTTCCCAATTCATGTATTAAAGATTCCCAATTATCTTCGGTGTATTTAGAAATGTCTACATCCATAATCTTTCTCAAATTCATTAGTAGGTTAGATGAATTCCCCCAAAACTGGATTTTTCATGTTATCGGAACAAGTGAAATTAATACATTGTAAATAATTTTTATTGCTGGTTGTTATTTCTTTCTGTCTTTTTCATTTTTTCTGTAGATCTTCATTAGTGAATTGATTAGATGAAGGTAAAGACAGAATACCTGTCTGTGTGGACAATGTGATATCTCATTTCCGTTTTTAAGTACAATCCAGTTATCAAAACCACTACCGTTATGAAAAATCAATGTTAATCTTTTTCTATCATATTCTCTCTAACTTTTTTCTTAATTTTTCTAAATTAATGAACGTACAGGAATAAGGAATTACTTTGCGCGTTTCACGTCCAGTATCAGTTTCGCAATCCCAAGCGAACAAAGCATCATCACTTATACTTGAAAACACGTTTAGTTTTAGAGGTGAGACTTGTATCGTCTCTACACGTTTTCCATACTTGTTCATAATTATCTTCTATTTCTTTAATACCTAAACTTTTTTTTATTTCTTCTTATAAGACAGAAATGTGAGTTAAACCAATATAATTGATCATATACATCTCTGGGATATAAATGCCTATTTATGGGATTATAAATTTAAAATGAAGTATCATGTCATCTCATATTGAATTCATTAATTCATCAGTTGTCACTACTCCTTTTCTATTTGCTTTTGGAAAACTGTTGATGAAATCTTGAAATTCATTTGTTAACTCTTTGTACAAAACATGATTTACACATTTGATAAAACAGCTACCATCTGTTCGTATGTATCAATTTGCACCTATATATATATTCATTTATTTTTTTAATTAGTTCAGTGCCAACTTTTGATATTTTTATTTCTTGGTAAAATTGAAAAATAGCGTGTTTTCTATGAATGTTTCATCGTCTATAAGTTCGATTCTATTCATATTTTTAAGTAGATCTTTTTTTCACTTTTATTGATGACTTTTCTACATCAAATTTATCTAAATTTCATTCAATTCTTCTAGTTATTCAACT